AAAAAAAATACATATTTTTCGTGGTATGTGCATTTTATCGTTGTTGTACAATAAATATGATTGCTTCATTTATAAATTAAGTTATACGAATAACAAAGAGAAAATATCTTTAAAGGTAATTTGTACAGTATAATATTTAAAGTATGTAATGTTATTTTACATAGTATTCATCGCTAAATACTACATTTGAAAACGTTTCAAATTTTACACTAATTTAAATAACGTAAAACGCTAAACGTAAAACGCCAATAATGTACATTATTAATACGTTATCATGCACGATTATGCAACGCACACAGTGACGTATTCTTCATTTGTCCAACTATCCCTTGTAACTGTAGTGTGTATTTTTTATAACACTTTTTTCTGATATCTGATATTTTATTTTCATGAGCCAAAATAAAAAAACATTAACAACTGATAGAATTAAAATCTAATAAAAATGTTATTTAAACATGTAACTTCAAACTAAATTACAAAAAGGAATTTATAATAGAACGTTTAAACAAAAATTAAAATAAAATATTTATTTTATTTATTTAAGTATTTAACACCCCAAAAGGGTAATGAGTATAGTTCTTAAATTAACAAAAAGTATACAAACAATTTTTAATGATATCATATTAATACATGTTTAAAAGAAAAATATAAGTGGATTTAATATAAAAGTCAAATAAATTATTTAATATTCATTAATAGATTTTTTAAATTAAGTTGAGAATCAAAAAAGAAATCGAAGTAAGTTACATTATTACATGATTCTAGAAAGCGGTAATTCGGACTATTTTTGATAATATTTCTCGAGCAACGAGGTACTAAAAAAGAATGATTGTTTCTTGAATTGAAGGTTAGAATTTTAAAATGTATTTTACTTAGGGATTCTGGTGAGGAAAGTTTACCATTTATTAACTTATAGACAAAGATTACATCATTAAAAAAGGTATAGGCGACCGCACAGCAATCGTGTGCGTGAGGGTAAGTAGAAAATATTAAACATTAATAATTAACACAATTGTGAAATACTGCATTTTAGGAAACATTCTAATATTACGTCAGGAGACCAGAGGGGAGTGAAATCTGACTGACAGTATCTTATATGGGGGAAAGGGTTAAATCTAAAATCCGATATCAGCATGATATTTATCAAAATTCGTATCGACGCAAGATAAAGCGAAAGTCGATAAATTACGACAGCATCACCGACAAAACACACACACACACACAGCATGACAAGATCAATACATTCCTCGTTTCACTAAAAAGTGAGAAGTCGATCTTAACTAAACTTAACGACGAAATCTAATCAATTATCAAAATTATTTTTGTATCAATTGATAGATTTGTACATTAGGAATAGAAAACGTCATAACAGAAACAGAAAATCATGGTTTGCTTAACATTTAGATTTCAAAATCATTTCATCCCATATAACAATGCTGATTACAGCAATCATTAATTAAATGCTACATCAATTTTACAACTATTCGATCGGTATTAACTTTCGAAAGAGTAATGAATGATAATTACGTTTGAGATTAAATTAAATAATATACTTATAAATAAAAACTATTTTAAGAATTTTATGTACATTATGACGTAGACGCATCTTCGCGAGAGCACGCACACGCGAATATGTATGCTCACCTTGTCCAAATACGAATACTTGTGCATGTTCTGCTTATACATTGTCACCCATAAATTAAATGTTTGTACATCAATCACGTGTTTTAGATTTTCAGTTGCCGATCGACGAGTATGCCTATAAGACCATTGACCATTCGACGTTTACAGTCGTTAAATTTAATTATTTATTGATCTTTAACTAAAATAACTCATCTTGTATCTTTATAAAAATAATTTAATTTTCCAATAATATGAACTATAAATCATGAGCGTCACTGTAATAGTTCTACATTCTATTTTAAAAAATAAAAATATTAGAAAACGGTGAACCACTCACTAGTGTAACTTTTTTTTTAACTTTTATTTTTAGCGTATATAATCGGTAAACTATTTTCTTTCTTTTTTTACAATAGGCATGTGACCCGGATATATGCATCCATAGGTGTCACTTTGTACAGTTATTAATTGTAATTTGCTTTAAACCATTCCATTGTAATTAGTTTTAACCATTCCTACAACCAGTGCTACTACTGAAAGATTTTTTTCAGCTTTAAAAAGGATACAGACATATTTAAGAAATAATCAAAATAGACTTTCAAATTTATAAGAATTTTTAAAAAATAATAGAAGAATTGAGTTGTCTTATAATTAAAATTCTAATGAATAATAAGAATTTATAATTAAGATATATTATTTTAAATTTTTTTTAAATGTTTTCTTTTATTAATTAAAATAAAAAATTGTTGTTACTTATTTGTTAATATTTATGATGTATATAGGTAGGCATCATTATTGGTTATACTACTGATGTATCCTTGCCACGCCATTGAACTTAATCCAACATTCTCTAAACTTGTTATTTATTTTGTATAAAAAGTGCGAAAAAAATTAAATGAATCTAAATTTATTCTCTGTTCATCCACATTATGACGATTCAATTACTCTCCAATATACCATAATTGTGTATGTATTATATAGAATAAACTCCATCCTCTTTTGAATAATAGTACATTTTTTACATTCTTTGGGTCATGGTTTTATAAAAAGTAAACGTGCAAACTGGTTCAATGTTTAGTCATTCTGTTCAATATGTTCTCCTTGAAGACCATAATTATTTGTGAAAAAATTCATTCGATAAATATTTATAAGTACTTCATAATTTATAAGCGTAGTCTGTGGCTCATAACTACTCATTCTTATCAACATAGCGATATTTCTAATTTTGTATCCGTCACGTGTCAAACAGTTGCGTATTTATAACGGGAGTCTATATACCAAACCAAGGGCAACAATGTTCACATATAAAAGAATTATTTTAAATTTTATTTTAATTGAATTTAATTGAAAATTCTACCAAGTTCTCCTAATAATTATTGCAAAAGTGTACAAAATTTGGAGTTTAATACATATTCTAGAAAAAAAAAATTATCATAACTCTCCAAATTCTTCAATGGATTTCTACTTATGGTGAATGAACTAAATTTAATCAACCAATATTGTATTTATACGATTTTTATTTTTACATCAACATTCACCAAATAATTCAATATGCGTGGCATCCTAACCTAACCATCACTAGGAAATGTTCTTAATATGAGATATTTGTAAAAATACGCAACATTCATCGAAATGATTAGATGAGATCAACAACTACCGACGATTGTCAACATTCATTACTAGGTGGCCATACACCTTAACTATACATAATATATATGCATATATTGTACTAATATAAATTGTAACCACATAAAATGTTTTTTTCATGCGTAATCGAGAAATAAATGTTATTATCATTTGTTATTTGCCATTTATCATTTACCATTCGAAAATTGATTAGGTTTTATTAGAGTCTATTATTATGAACTGCTAAAACGTTGAGTGCCTCGGTTTGCCTATTTGATATGCCGAGTTCATGTAGCCGCATCTAAACTATAACACCCATAATGTCGGTCGACTACGTGTCGACTTCGGCCACCAATGTATAACCGATATTTTTCGTCCTTGCTCATTACTTATTATTTGACTAATGATAAATACAATAAATCGTTGATGAATATATGTATGAAATATTATAAAATGAAGGATACTTGAAACGCAACTAGTTTTTTTTTTTTTACTAAATTAGTTTTTGTGCAAGTATAATTGAAATAGAATACGTAAAAACTCGTATTTCAGATTTATAAACATTAAAATGTTCACAGTGCAACATATCCCAGCGACAAAAATATTTAGTGGAGGTAACTAGTTCTTAATTCCAAAAGATGAAAAAAATAATGGTTCTACTCGTACATTTTGTATTTGAATCCAACGTAAATTAATATTCATTTTTCATTATCCCTTCTCCCCAATAGCTAAGATCTGGAAATATCACTGGACACCAGTGGCGGATTAG